AAAAAAAAAAAAAAAAAAAACAAGAATAAACACTTACCATCCTCATATGTCCCACATATTAAATTATCTCTAGTAGATGCGTTGTGGCTTACCCATTGTGGACTTGATGTACGCAGACTTGAGGTTCTGCCAGTTCTTCTTCAGGAGTGAGACGAGGAAGTTGAGTGCCATAACAGTGTTCTGACGCACCTGATCCTCTGTCATTTCCACATGACCCACACATGTACCAAGGCAAAGCACCTTCTTCAGTTGGAACTTAACAGTGGACTGAAGCTCAAGCACCTTCTCAGGCAGACTCTCGCTCATCGCACACACTGTTGGGAACTTACCAACACGATGCATGTGAGGACCCACAAGACGGGGCACCGTCTTGATGATGGACTCTGAGCACAAGAACGCATCATACTTGTTGCACATCTTCTTCACGAGCTTCTTGTTCTTGTTCAGCTTCTTCAGCTCTTCCTGGTTCATCGTCGGCACGTCGTTCTTCTTAGCGATATCCTCGTGCACAAGGTCGCACAGCAGGCAGACGGTCATGCGAGGACGGCAGACGTGAGGAAGACGAATAGAGCCGGAGAAACGCTTGTCCTTCTGGGGGTCGTAGTTCTTCAGGTTCACCTGCAGATCAATGCTCTCCTTGAACTTGCGCTCCTTGCGGGTGCTCAGGACGGCCTGAATGGCCTCTGACAGCTGTGCTGGAGGGATCTTGGACATTCCTTTTAGAGATTGTAGTATAAATAGATAACGGTGTGTTTTTTTTGTAAGTCTTTACTCGAAGAAAATGCGAGAGATCGTGATAAACTGCACTCGGCTTCCTTCTCCTATGAGACTTCTCTTAACAAAAAAAGCTTTCCTTCGTGGCTGTTGTTGCTGGTAGTGGCACCTGAAAGGAAAGGAATGAAAAAAAAAAGAACAAACAAAAAAAAAAAAAATAATAATAATAAGAGTAACCAGAAAAACGATACAAACGAGTACAAAAATGGATGTCGAAAAATAGGTAAAAAAAAAAAAAAGAGAGAGTGAGAGAGAAAAAAAACAAAAGAAATGGATGAATGAATAATAAGAAATAATGTGTTTTTGTGGATACATCAGTGCACAGCACCGCTATGATTCACTGAGACTTCATGCAACCCGACATATCTCTGCAGAAGTGAGCATTAAACTTCCTTACTCTACTATGCCAACTGCTAACACACACCCTACCTCTTCTCAAAAACCTATACCGTCAAACAGAAGGAAACAACAAAAACAAGATGATGATGATCATCATCATCATTATTATCATCATGAGCAAAAAGAAAAATATGAAAACGTCATCATTTTGTAGAGCTCACAGTGGATTGCTTCTGAAATTTCATTAGCTTTTCCACAAGTTGTTCTGTGGTTGGTGATGATGGACGTTTTCCCCATAGACGTTCCAAATCTGCAGTCATGAGTTCCTTCTTTTCTACAAGTTCTGATACCACCACATCAATTTTTGAAGTATTTGCTTTAATAATATCTAATGCCGTTTGATGGGCAAGGGAGACCAGTTTTTTTGCCTCCATCTCTGCGAGATGCTGAGATTTGTTAGAGTAACTAACGAAAATACGTCCCGCCTGTGTTGATTCTGGGTGATAGGATAGCAATCCAGTGGTACTATCCATACCAAAGGCCATCATCTGCTTAAGAGCAATATCTGTAGCTCGTTGTAAGTCATCCATAGCTCCTGCAGATGGATCACCAAGCAAAGTTTCTTCTGCGGCTCGTCCACCCAGCATTACAACCATATCAGCGAAGAGCGTAGCATTTGTTTGATACTCATGAAATTCACTTCCTGCACGTTGAGTAAATCCTTGTGCTTGGCCACGTGGAACCACACTTATTTTTAGAACAGGCTTAACCGTAGGCATCATCCACGCTGTCAACGCGTGGCCTACTTCGTGAATAGCTGTCCTTCGTAGAGATGCGTCACTTTGACGATTGCGGTGTTTTCGTCCCACCAATGTGTTATCAACTGCTTCAAGAATAGCTTCTTTTTCCACTATTTTTTTTTCACGAATACCACTCTGTAAAGCAGCTTCATTTACAACAGTTGCGATTGTTGCGGGAGAAATACCAGGTGTTAACTCAGCCATTTCCTTTGCCAACTCCAAATTACTAATTGCATTATTCACTGGCAAAGGTTTACCATCATCATCTGTCGTTCGTCCGTTTGGATCACCAGTTCCCACACGATCCAAATAATGCTTAAAGATTTCAACTCTTGCTGCTTTATCAGGCATCTCAACATTTACTTTCCTGTCAAAACGTCCCTCCCGTAACAAGGCTTTATCAATATTATCCTGAAAATTTGTGGCAGCAAAAACAATAATAGCATCAGAACCGGTATTCAATCCATCAAGTTCTGCCAATAATTGATTAATGGTTCGATTTTCTTCACTACTTACAGAACCACCTTGTTTTCCTGATCTAGACCCTATCGCATCAACTTCATCAATAAATACAATAGCTGGAGCAGAACTTCGAGCTTCTTCAAATAATTCTCGTACACGTTTAGGTCCACTTCCTCCCATAAGCTCTATAAAGTCTGAACCACTGCAACTGAAGAATGGCACATCAGCCTCACCAGCAACAGCTTTTGCCAGTAATGTTTTTCCTGTACCAGGTTCTCCAGTGAGTAAACACCCTTTTGGTAGTCTCGCTCCCAAACGAGTAAACTTATTAGGTTCTATGAGAAAATCAACATATTGACGAACCTCTTCCTTCGCCTCAGGGATACCAATAACATCACTGAACTTGGTCCCTTTAACATCCACACGAAACTGACGTTTCTTTATAGGCATCATTTGTTCCATCATACCCTCAAAAGGGTTAGAAGTAACTCCTGGAGGAGCCTGTCGACGTAAGTACACCCATGCAATAGCAAAAGGTACACCAAACCAAAGAACTGGACCAAGACTTGCACGAAGCCAATTATCCTCCGTACGGGACCGATGGCGCATTGCATCTTGCAAACCACGGTTGTATTCAGCGCTATTGCTCTCTGTCATTGTTCCCTACAAAATATTCACCGTCTTCACCCCAACGAAAAAGAGAAGAAAAAAAAATGTGTTCGGTATTTATTATAGTATTTTTTTTTTTTTTGTTTTGCTTTACTTAACCTAAACTCACCCACTCAAGAAAATAGAACAAAGAAAAAAGAAAAAGAAAAAGAGATGTGTATACAAGAGAGAGAGACAAATAATAGAGAGTTCCCAAACCTCTAAGAGAAAACTTCACATTAAAGAAGTATACAGATTATATCTAACTTTCTTTTTTTTTTTTTTGCGTTGCATTGCTTTCTTTCACCACATGTAGACACACTGATAGCAAGAAACAGGAAGAAAAAAAAAAAAGATGGTACAAGAGACTAGAATATTTCTTCTACATCATGAACAAAAAGGACGATTCCCTTAAGTCTTTCACAACTATAACAATCACCAACACCACTAGGATCATCTTATTTCTGTTTCCATATGCTTCTATGTTGGAAGCCAATAGTACTCACATCTTTACCTGAGATGTATTTGTACGCGATGTACGACTCATAATATCAGCAGATCGTTGAGCTATTTCCTGTAATGGTACTCGTCGTGCATCTTCACCAAGAAGAGGGTGTGCACACCTTTGTGGATTGTTGCTCAACAAGTACGCAGCAAGGAAAGCCAAAGGATCGACAGGTCGTGCCTTAGAAACTTCTTCTAGGCCACGCAATAGAAGTGGCATCACAGTAGCCTCAAGATATGGCTGATCGGGTAAGGCATACACAGGTACAGTGGGTAGTGCAGGTGGTTCACGAAGATGGTCTGTAAGCCTTTTAAGCATTAAATCATTATCAAAGGAGCCTTCCTTCGCATCCATTGCAAAAAAAAAAAAAAAACCACTATGTAACCTAGTCTCTTCAGGTTTTTTTCCCCTTGGTTTCTTCTGTTTTCTGTTCCACTTACCGAAAAAAACAAAAAAGAAAAAAAAAAGGGAGTAAAAGATCTGAAAAATGATGGTTAAAATAAGAAGAAATAGAAAAGAAAAAAACGAAACTTAAAAAAATTACAAACACTCCTCATATCCACCCCAAACTCTATTTATGAGTCATACGGTTTTTATGGGAGATGTTCTTTCTTTTTTTTTTTTTCATTATGAGAAATTAAACCGATCAAAAAAAAAAATTTCAAAGCGATTCAGTGGAACAGAAAATATGACGAAAAAGACTTATACATACCAAAGCTCCTCACTCCCACCGTGATTAGTGATCAGGCTTCTTGCGGAAGCCACAGCCTGTTGTCAGCATTGCCTTACCACCTGTTGGGCGGCACAACTTCGTGGCGCAGCCGTTGCACTGCACCTCCGACGTGGCATGGCTGTACACAACAGTGATAGCGTTGCAACCGGGGCACTTCACGTCCATGAAGAATGAGTTGGGGCCCTGCACCAAGCGACGGCGCTTGTGCTTCATGCGCTCGGAGCGCACCGTTGGGTAGCTGAGGTCAGAGTCAAAGAATCCCATCGCCTTATTTTTTTTTTTTTCTTTTCACACAGTCACAGTCTTTTTTGTTTCCTTAAGAAAAACTACGAAGAAAACTCGTAGCTCCTTGGTTAATGTGTACGTGTGTAATTTATGGTTTCCGTGTGGAAAGCCAGAAGAACCGCTACATTAAAGGTAATATATATATATAGTGGCAAAGAAAACAAGAGAAAAGAAAATAGAAGAAAAAAAAAATGATAAAAACAATCAAAGATTTCAATACATGATTTTTACAACCAAAATAAAAGAATTTGGGATTAATCACACTCGTCAAAAATACCATCAAATCACGTACAACTGTGGATTCTCCTACTGTATAAAGAATAAAACGTAAGAGCAAGTACGGTTCCTGTGATACCCCCAGAAACATTCTTGTTTTCTATTCATTTTCTTCCCTTGTACAAGGGTTTGCCTGTTTCTCATACGCTCCCTATTTTACTTTTCCATTTTTTTCTTTTTTTTACGTTCTGTCTCATCTCCAGAATTGCATGAAGGGCGGCTCGAGTAAGATCACAAAATACCACGCTTGTGCGGAGAAATTTGTTTCAAAAGCACAAAAAAAAGAAAAAAAGAAAAAAAAAAATACAAACACTCGCAGAAATACAAACACAAATACCTGGTAATTGGAAAGTGACTTTGCAATAAACTACTAAACTACATTTCCATACTTTCATCAGATAACCTTGAAGTTTCACTCCCATTTTCATTTATTATTTTCTTTTTTTTTTCCTGCTGATTGGCTTGTTTCTGCAATAGGTCCAATCACTTGTTGGCCTCATAGCAGCTCACACACACTCGTTCCGATTTTCCATTTTTTTTCAACACCTGTTGATACGGAGAACACATAGCACAAAAAACAAATCCACATGCCCTACAATGGTGTCGTCGTCGGGTAAAGTTAAATGGTAGATGGCACCTGTTACATTCTGTTGCAACTTCATCGTCTTGCCATTGAATCTCGTCGTCAGAGTCCTTGGCATCCCTCTTTGAATTTGTTGTTGCCGTTGATTGCTGTGGTGGGGGTTTGTATTGAGAAGGACGATGAGTCGAACACATCTCACACTTTTCCAAAACAAGTGCATTATTAAAAGTGCAACTCGGGCATGGCCATTTCTTTGGGGCATTGTCATTGCCCTGAGCGCTAACTCCCACTTTTTTCTTTTGTTCTTTAGATTTAGAAGGTGCAAGATGACGCGGTCGTTGCCCGCTCTGACACGCCTCACAAACCGCATTATTAACAGAATTTTCTAACGTGCATACAGAACATGTCCATGCCGTAGGAACTGTTTCATTTACGGATGCTTGTTGTTGCCGTGGTGGTGGAGGTGCTTGTTCAAAATCCAGAATGGGTGTTCCATTACTTTGGTAACTGCTACAAGTTTCACACCTTACATTCTGTGAGTGATTTTTTTCCCCACAGATACCACACAACCATCCTGCTGCTTTTACTGTAGTAGATGGTGTAACACCAGGAACAGGGGTACCATTCTTTTGGTAAGCATTGCAGACCTTGCAACGTGTATTTTGGGCTGGATTGGGTGCCAAACAAATACTGCAAATCCATGCTGTCGGACCAGGTGGTTCAGATACCACAGCCACACTTTTCGTAGGTGGTGAAGTTAAAGGTACACTTCCGCCACGAGTAGTGGAAGGAGAAATACCAACGTCAGCTGGGGGATTGTAGCCAGGTCGATTGGAATTGCACATTTCACATTGGTTTTCACTAAGAGGGTTCCGGTACGTGCATGAAGGACATCCCCAGGTTTCAAGTTCTTCACGTTTTTTCCTTTCTCGTTCTCGTTCCTTCTCCAATTCTTTACGGAGTTGGATAATTTTCTCCAGTTGTTTCCTATCCTCTTCTTCTTGTGAAAATTTGGATTCGTTGTTATTCTGGTTCTGATTTTGATTCAATGTTGGATCTGGAGGAGAAACAACTTGAGGAGAAACATAGGCTGCAGTTGTACCGTTTGGAACACCAAGAGGCATAGCCATTCCCATTGCTGCAGTTTGATTTGAAGGAGTATAACTAGTTCCAGTAGTTGGTGGAGGAGTAATGTACGTTGTCTGTAACGGAGCTGGTCCAGGTGGTACGGCATACACATTGGGGTTGGTCGGTTGTGGTACATTTAGAGATGCATAAACCATCTGAGGATGCATAGGATTAGGCACAGCAACAGGAGCAGTAGTAGAAGTAGTAGTAATAGGTCCAATACCACCTGTAGTAGTAACAGGAGGTGCAGCAAAACCAACAGGAACAGAAGGAACAGTAGGAACTGCAGTTTCAAACGGAGGAGGAGGTGGTGGTGGGGGCGGTGGAGGCGGTGGAGGTGCAGTCATGTGAACTCCGAATGGATCCTGTTGTATCATAGGCGGTGGTGGGGGATCACTTGGAGGCGGTGGGGGTGCGTAGGCGGGAGTGGCCACCTGCTGCTGGCGGGGCCGGGTGTCAAAGAGATCATCCAAGTTAAAACTCATACTAGACACACAATACAAACTTGAGTGGCTCTGTTCAGTAAAAATGATTCTGCCGGCCTGATTATATATACGTAAGGGTGTATGTATGTGTTCAAGTATGTATGTAGATATATATATATAAAGAAAAAGTTAGATAAACAGATAAAACGTCAGATATATGATTTCCTACTAGTTCTCGCTCTTCTTTTGTTTTCACTTGATGCTGGAGTTTTGATCGTTCGTTATCTATTCTCCAAAAAGAGCCTAAAAGAAAAAAAAAAAAGAAAAAAAAAAAAAGAAAAAAAGAAAATCAAACCACAACAAAAGAATAGAAGGAGAAACAACAAGAAAGATATATCCGAAACAAGATGTTTTTATCGATATTTGCAGTAGCAATAAAAAAATGATTACAGTCGACATAGCTCATTACAGTCAAAGAGAGCAACAGCATTTCGTTAAAGTACAAGGAAACATAAACAAGTAAATAAAAATAAATAAAATGATACTGTTTCAGTTATGAAGAAAGCAATCTCAATAAAAATAAAAATAACAATAATAATAATAATAAAAAGCAGCATAAACCACGACACATTCAAAAGTTAAGGCATCGCGTAGTTCTATTCTCTCATCTCCTAATAATAGAAAATAGGACACCAAAAATACGTTTCCATCATATTCAGCAACATCGACTTTTTGTACTGTTTTCATTGTTATTTTTATCGTTTGCTAATCTTCTGGCGTTTGCACCTTTACCACGTCCATCAGCTTTATTTTCTTCAGCACCACTCGCCGCGGCTTCCTTCTCACGTTTTGAGAGTATACGATCCACCAGACCTTGAAACGCCTCATGTACATTCTGTCCCTTCTTTGCAGAAGTATCAAAGAATGTCATGCCTTTCATACGGCATACCTCCTCTGCTTGACGCACACTCTCCCGCTGATCATCACTCACAACAGCATCGCATTTATTCCCACAAACCACAATAAACTCTGTATTATTGTTCATATGTGGTAAAAGTTCCGGTAACCAGACAGTTTCAAGTTCTTTAAAAGAGTCCAATGATGTTTCGTCAAAAACTAATAAAGCTCCAGCAGCGTGGCGAAAGTACATTGGGGCCATCGCGCGGTACTTTTCTTGACCAGCCGTGTCCCACACTTCAACTCGAACATTTGTGTTGTGTTCTTTTGAGTATAACTGTTTGGAGAAAAAAGCCGATCCGACTGTTGTATCTTGAAATTCATCAAATGAGTCAGTTATAAATCGTTTCGTTATGGAAGTCTTTCCGGCATTACTGGGACCGCAAAGCACAATTTTAATGGCTGTTGTACGACTCACAGTTGACATTCTTTTGTTTCTTTTTTTCTTACCTGATGTTGATGTTGTTATTGCTATTATTGTTGTATTTCTCGCTCTTTTCCTTGTTTTCCCACAAACCCACTCCCCCAAAATAAGTACGCAGATGTCCACACAACAGCTAGAAACCAACATATACGTAAAGGAAATATATGTAAAGACAGGGTTTTGTGGAGCCAACCAAAGTACAGAAAAAAAAAAAAAGAAAAGAAGAAAACAAGCAAAAGAGATTCATATAAACTACACGTTTTAAAACCGAAACAAAACAAAACCACAAAAGAAAAAAAAAGAGCCACTCCGCGCTCATTTAGAACGCCATTAGAACAAACTGTCAAGAGCACGAGAGGAAAAAAAAAAAAATGAACAACAACACAACCACTATTAATACCTTCCCTCTAACCACTATCAAACCCATAGCAGCACTGTTCGCCAACAATAACGACGGCAACATCCGCAACAGCAACAGCAACCTCCAACTAGGAGATGCAACGTGAGAAAGAAGATCAAATCGGGGCCGAAACTGG